TATTTATACAGTTATACTTTTGCTAATTAAAAAGGTAGTCAAAAAATATTAATAAGCATTATTGAAAAATTAAACAATATGCGTCTATTTAAAACCATGATTTGAGAAAAATTCAAATAATAATGGGTTAAAATTATAACAAATATAATGCAATTAATATATATTTTCTGTAATAATTCTTTAAAAAAATAAATTTTAATAAAGAATAGCGTTTTGCTCTTTTTATCTATATGAAAAAACTACATACATTCAATATATCTCTTTAGAAAAATCAGAAATTATTTAAAAATAATCTATTTAATGTATCATCCATGTAGTTTACCTGTTGTTTGATTAATGATTAAACTACAAACTTATGCAAATATATATTTTAATAAAAAATGAACAGAAACATAGAAGCAAAAGATCATGTTTTATCACGTAGAAAATTTTAATTTTTTATCTATAAAATATTGTGTGTGTTGGTTTCTCTCTTTTAGTCTCCTATTTATTTCTTATTTTTCAAAATAATTATATTTTTTTAATCGAATAATATTACTATACGGATATTTTTTAAACCCAATAACCCTCACAATCATCTGAGTCAAAGCTTCGAGATACGCATCTGCTATGACCTTAATATATATCAGCTGCTTTATAAAAAATATACCGTTATAAAAAAGAAAATTTATACTATACCAGGTTATATCGTTGGACGCACAATATGTCGTGAAAGTACAACGAGATGCTACACACAGGATTTGTTACCTGCAAGATGACATAAAGTAAGAAATTAATTACTTTTCAGGCAAAATTTACATGTATACTATTTAATCGAGATAAAATTTCTCCAAGTATGGAGTTTGATTATAAATATATACTTTATAAGATATATAATTTACATGAAAGAACCGTTATCTGATCCGAAAAAATCGCTCAATTTCTGTCTCTTGAAATTTCGGTTTAATATCCCATCCCAGTGAGCATTATTGAGAGGATGAGCTTTTTAAGAGGACTTTTTAAAGACTTAATTAAATTTTCTTAGAAATGATATCAGTAAGTTATCTTTTTGTAAGATATCTTTCACAAGAGCTCTTTATGATATCTCTTCATAGATATCTCTAAAATCTCTAGCAAGCGTGCCATTTAAGATATTTTACGAAAGCCGCACACATGCGCAAGCAACGTACATGTGAACTAGAGACCCTGTGTCTAGTGTGAACTGCGTGCCGCTGCATGCTCTGGATTTCAAAGAGATAGCATTTCTTCAATATTAACGTTTTTAAGATAATCTTTCTTTCTTAAATTATAAATATTATTAAATATGTATTTGAGCATAAAATATATTAATATTTTCATATATATTTTTGTTATTTCTATATTTAACCTAAGAAGTTGGGTTATGTCTTCAAAAAATGTAAAGGGCGTTTTTTAATTCATCGATTGATCAATCGCATGATGCACAAATGTAGCAAATACAGGACTTTGCTGTACTTGCGCATCATATGCGATTGATCAATCGATGAATTAAAAAGCTCGCCCAAAAATATAATACTACAAATAGAACGGTTCTTAACAGTGACATTTTTTTGATATTTAAAATAAGAAGTCAGATTGTGGAATTCTTTTAGATGTCAATTATATGATGTCTTTCTTTCCTCTAAAATCGACGCATTGGAGGACTTATTGATATCATAATATTATCATTTTGATGGTGTTTTCGGAAGTCCGACTCTTAAACTTGAGTACTTTATGAATTTCTTTTGATAACATATTGCTCACTGGGTTGAAATTTCGGTTTAATATCCCATAAAACTACTAAATAATCTCACAATTTATTTCATAAAACGATATTATTGCGAATAGTCGCCTCTATTTCACTCGATTATCTCTTTGTCGGCTTACCTGCGAATATTATCGGAGCTCGAAATCTTTGCTTCTTTACGGTACGATACTCCCGCACGAAAGAGGAAAGGGAAGTTACCGCAAAAACGCGCGTAGCAGCGTAGCATCTTTGGCGCCGGTATTGCCTTCTTCTGATTGGTCAATTGAACAAAGTATTTGTAGCGCCAAATAGAACGCGCAATCGATTCCTAAGCAGAATGTTTCAACAAAATTTGAAGAAAAACAGCGCTATACATAGTGAACTTTAAGAGATATCATAAAGAGCTCTTGTGAAAGATATCTTACAAAAAGATAACTTACTGATATCATTTCTAAGAAAATTTAATTAAGTCTTTAAAAAGTCCTCTTAAAGAGCTCATCCTCTCAATAATGCTCACTGAGAAATAATCTCACAATTTATTTCATAAAACGATATTATTGCGAATAGACGCCTCTATTTCACTCGATTATCTTTTTATCGGCTTACCTGCGAATATTATCGGAGCTCGAAATCTTTGCTTCTTTACGGTACGATACTCCCGCACGAAAGAGGAAAGGAAAATTACCGCAAAAACGTGCGTAGCAGCGTAGCATCTTTGACGCCGGTATTGCCTTCTTCTGATCAGTGTTCCAATTAGGGACCGGCTGTACGCGCATGTGCGGGAATACGGCATCAGTAGGCCTGCATAAACCAGCCTTAAATGTATTACAAGTAGTCAAAAGATGGTAGAATAAAAGGATTTAATGATCGATTATCCGATTTGAGAGAAAAATTGTCCCATTATTGTCTCTTGAAATTTCGATACATAATATGCCATAATACCTGTCAAGGGCCGTCTACAATGGCAGTAACAAGGCTGTAGGAGTAAGAGAGTATACTGTTTTTAGTGATGTAAAGACGAAATGGGCAATTCCCATTTGCTCTTAAAAGTTTTAAGAGCAAATGGGAATTGCCCATTTCGTTACTCTCGGTCTTTACATCACTAAAAACAGTATACTCTCCTACTCCTACAGCCTTGTTACTGCCATTGTAGACGGCCCTTTAGAGTCTTCCGTTCAGTTACATGCTGCCATCTACGCGAGTGAGTCGAAAAGTAAGTAACATATATTCTACCCGATCGGTAAAGAGAGATCTACTTTTTTCTTTAATTTGCGCTGATCGAGGTTGGGTTAGTCTAGCAGACGACGAGACGGACGGCTGGTCGTAGCAGACAGCGCATAGCTAGCGTCGTTCGCGGGCACTTGTCAGCGAACATTTGAATCGAAAGCTGAGACTCGTGTAAGTCAGAGTGTTTATTGTTTATCGAACGAGAGCGGAACACCAGCGTGTTCGCGATGGATCCCGAGGCGTTTCTGGACATGGCCAATCAGGTCATCAAGCTGAAAATGTTCCCGTATTTCGACATAGCGCATTGCGTACTGTGCGCGCTGCATGTCAGGGAGGATCTGGGACCCGGTAAGCTCGCCGTTTCTAAATTTATAATGCTCTTTACGCGCGGGGTACCACCAAATACCACGGACTCTCTCGAGGAATATAGCTCCTCGCGACCTCGCTTATTCCCGAGACGACGATCACGTCCCACGCTGCCGCGGTGTTTTATATTTACGGATGTGATCTCCCTGTTTTTTTTTTTTTCTCTTTCTCTTTCTCTCTCTTCATCGAGTCTTAGACGCGTAAGAGCGTGATATAATAACTGGCGCGAGATTTCTAAAAATCCAAAAAAAACCGATGTTTTTTTTGTGTGTCCTATATTGAGAAATAAAATCAGAATATACTCCAATAATAAATATTTCAACGAACTTGAAATGCCGGATGAATAAAATAACGAGTCGTAGATTTTAGATTATATTTTCCGAAGTTTCGTGAAACACGAAACGATTGATAGTTGTTCGTGATATTACATTGATAATGTCAACGTTGATCAGAGAGAGATATTTAATATCGATTCGTTTATAAATTATCTTGGCATATAGAGTGGATTAAGCTGTCATGACATTGCAATCGTGACTGCACGAGACTTCTTTTAAACGTATCTCAAATAATTACGAATTACCAAACGTGGAAATTTTATCGTTTATGTAATATTATTCATAAGTTTATTTTATATATCATACATGTGACTAAATATTATGCATAGTATGATTGTTATTGCATAACTTGCTTATTCTATAAAGAAATATTTTAATATTTATTTATTTGAGAGAACATAGAGAGAGAGAGAGAGAGAGAATATATGTATAAAAAATTGCACGATAAAAAATATTTATTATTTTTATTGTTTACTTATAATTTTGATTGTGATATCACTTTATTAATAGATAATTTGATGTTAATGTGATATTTGATATATCTATTGTATTTATAAATCTTTTATACTATTTATTGTTTTTCTCTTTTTATAATTGTAATATTGTATTTGTATAAATGATTTAAACATAAGATTTATCAAGTAATATAAGATTTATCAAGTAATATTATATTAGAAAGATGCATTTCAAAATCAAAATTGATCAGAATTAAGAGCTGATTTTATACTGCTCTTTGGCACAATTATTATAATTCTCTCCCAAGGCAATAACACAGACAACCCAGCTGATCTATTTCAGTATGCACCTTGCCACACATATACAGCTAACGAAATTATCCAAAATAAAGGCTCTTTCAAAAGCAGCTTCTCTAAAACATGCTAATTTACATTTAAAAACTTATTATTAATTTATTATTTCAATTTTTAAATTTTCTTATTACTAAAATTTTTATTAGCTTTTTATTTATAAAAAGAAGTTTTCTTATCTTATTTATTCAAAAAAAT